GCAACGTCACCTTCGTCAGAGGACAGGGCGACGTGGCCGCCCTCAAAGCTGGAGGCAAAACCCTTACGGTCACCATCGGGGATGGGCTCCCCAGGAATGCCAGTGAGTGCCAGGGCACTGGGGGGTGGCACAGGGGGCACACAGGAGCGCTGGGGTCACAGGGAACAACTGGAGGCCTGGGAGCATTGGGGTGAGCTGGGTGTTCTCTGTGGAGTTTGTGTCTCCCCCATTTCTGCTCTGGTGATGGGAGCTTTGGGGAACAGGGTACAAATGGGGTGACAGCCCCTACAGCTGGCTCTGAGGACTGTCATCTAACGGGGGGCTTGTGTCCCCCCAGAGCCCACAAGGAAGGGAGCAGCACAGGGCAGAGGTGGCAGCAGGTGTCCTGCACCTTCCAGAAGTGCCCCATCAGCACCCAGAGGTGAGCAGGGGGTACAGGGTGGGGGAAACAGGGGGTGCAGGCTGTGCATGACTCCCCTGTAATGCACCCTATTGGGATGCGCTGTTACAGGAGCCTGCAGGAACGGGGGTCCCCAGATCCCCCGCGGGGATGGCCGGGCACAGAGGGACACCTACAAGATGCCCCAGAAGCAGACGCGGGGCCCCCCGGCCGCGGCGCTTCCCGCCCGCAGCGCCGGCCACCAGCCCAAGGCACGGCCGCCATCCGAGCACAACATGGACTTCCTCAACGTGCCCGACCAGGGCGTGGCTGGGTAGGTCCTGTCCCATGTCCCTGTCCCTGTCCCATCCTCCTCTCCCACTGCCATCACCACTGGGAGGTGCTTTTCCCTCTGAGGAGGGGACAAGATGCATCCTCGGACACAGGGGATGTGTCCTGGCTTTGCTGGCAGGACACATCTCCCAGGCTATTGTGCATCCCAGTCCTCCCAGTCCCTGCACTGGGAGAGCAGGCACTGAGCATCCCAGGGGTGGGAGACAGCAGGGTGGGCAGCTCATCCTACCCCAGTTCCCCCAGTCCCTGAACTGGGAGAATCCATCTGGAGGCACAGAGCACCTCAGGATGGACAGGAGGGTGCAGCTCATCCTGCCCCAGTTTCCCCAGTTCCCAGTTCCCAGAGAACCCACCTGCAAGCACAGAGCATCCCATGGGTGTGAGGACAGCAGAGCGGGCAGCTCATCCTGCCCCAATTCCCTCAGTGCTTGAACTGGGACCACCCACTGCAGGCACAGAGCACCCCATGTGTGGGCACAGGATGGGCAGCTCATCCTGCCCCAGTTCCCCCAGTTCCTAAACTGGAAGTGCCCACCTGCAGGCACAGAGCATCCCATGGGTGTGTGGGTGCAGGGTGGGCAGGGGGCAGCAGCACATGCCATCCCATGGGTGTGTGGGTGCAGAGGGCAGCAGCACATGCCATCCCATGGGTGTGTGGGTGCAGGGGGTGCAGGGGGCAGCAGCACATGCCATCCCATGGGTGTGTGGGTGCAGAGGGCAGCAGCACATGCCATCCCATGGGTGTGTGGGTGCAGGGGGTGCAGGGGGCAGCAGCACATGCCATCCCATGGGTGTGTGGGTGCAGGGTGGGCAGGGGGCAGCAGCACATGCCATCCCATGGGTGTGTGGGTGCAGAGGGCAGCAGCACATGCCCTCCCGGTGCCCTGCCGGTGCAAACCCCATCCCTCCTGCCCGCAGGGTGCAGCGCCGCCGCAGCGTGGGCCAGCGGCCGCCCCCGGGCCGGCGCCCCAAGCCGCAGCCCAGGGCGGAGGGGCCGCGCTGCCGGGCGCTCTACCAGTACATCGGGCAGGACGTGGATGAACTCAGCTTCAACGTGGGAGATGTCATTGACATCCTGATGGAAGGTACCAGGCTCCTGCCCTGCCCGCCTCCTCTCCCTGCCCTGCTGGCAGCACAGCTGACTGTTTGTGTTCTCCCTCCCCAGATGCCTCTGGCTGGTGGAAAGGCCACCTGCACGGCAAGGAAGGGCTTTTCCCTGGGAATTATGTGCAGAGGATCTGATCTGGAGGAAAGGAGCATCCCACCTCCCATCCCACCTCCAGAGACTGTGCCCAACTTGGGCACCTGAAGTTTTCCTATAACTTCACAAAAACTTCCAAACCATGAAGTTTTCTCAGCAACCTCAAAACTTCACAAAAACTTCCAAACCGTGAAGTTTTCCCATCGATGCTGGCACAGAATGAACGTTTACTCAGAAAACCCCGGTCTGTGCCAGTGTCAGGGGCTGGATCCCACAGCCCCTTCAGTGGGGGCACTCTGCAGCAAGGACGGGCTCTTAGCTGCTTGTTAGCATCCAAGGACTCTAAAACTGCTCCCCGGTATGAACAGAGTCGTTGTTCATAATTCTGTTGTTCATAAATAAGCAGACTCAGCAAAGCTGACTCACATTTTGAGTTTGGGGGTTTTATTTCACTCACTGTGGCTGTGTGACAAAAGCTGTGACGTGGGCAGGCACAGAACAGAGGCAGCCCCGTTCCTCCCACCATGAACCCTCCAGAAAATGCTGAATACACCAACCAGCTCTGCCAGGCTGCAGTTTTGGCATTTCCAGGCTCTGCTGTGGCTCGGGATCTCTCAAAATAGGAGCAGGACGGCGCTGCCGTGCCTGGCTCGCCACAAGAACAGCTCAGAGGATCCCTCAGGCAAAGCCCTCAGAGCAAGCACTGCCTCTCCTGGCGCTGCTCGGGGGCAGCGTGTGGGGTGTCATCCCTGAGGGACGCTCGGGGTGGCAGCTGAGACCCTCTGGGGCAATGGCACAGCCGGGCAGGGCTGTGGGCTGAGCCCCACCCGGGGCTGCCCCAAGAAGGTTCAGCCGGGAGAGGGAGGAACAGGGCGGGAATGTCCGCCCCATGTCCGGCCCCATGTCTGACCCCATGACCGGCCCCATGTCCGGCCACACGTCCGCCCTCATGTCCGGCCTCCCCCAGGCCTGCGCCAGAGGAAGTGACGGCAGGCTGATCCCACAGAGCCCGGCCCTCCTCTTCCTCCCTCCCTGATCCCACAGAGCGCGGCCTGATCCTACAGAGCCCAGCCTGATCCCACAGCCCAGCCCTCCTCTTCCTCCCTGATCCCACAGCCCAGCCGTCCTCTTCCTCTCGGATGCCACAGCCCGGCCCTCCCCTTCCTCCTGATCCCACAGAGCCCAGCCTCATCCCACATCTTGGCCTTTCTCCTCCTCCTTCCCTGATCCCACAGAGCCCAGCCGTCCTCTTCCTCTCTCCCTGATCCCACAGCTCGGCCTTCCTCTTCCTCTCTCCCTGATCCCATAGCCCAGCCCTCCTCTTCCTCCCTCCTTGATCCCACAGGGCCCATCCTGATCCCACAGAGCCCAGCCTGATCCCTCAGCGCCCAGCCCTCCTCTTCTTCCCTGATCCCAGAGAACCCAGACCTCCTCTTCCTCCCTTCCTCCCTCCCAAGCCCCCACTGGAGCTGCTCCCCTGTCACACAGACCTTCCTCCCCACCTCAGATTTGGGGTCCAGCGGTGTTCTGTGTCCTCCAAGGTGGGATTAACAGAGGGCAGATCCCCACTGGGGTGGGAAGTTCCCCATGGAGTTGCAAATTCCTCACAGCCCCATCTGGAAATTGTGGGTCCCCCCCTCCCCCCATTATGGGTTTTTCAGCCCCTGCGCTCCTCGGTGTGATTTTCCCCATAAATCACAGCTTTTTAGGAATCCTTGCACTGCAGAGTGCAAGATGGGGGGTGTCTGATTTTATTTTAATGAAAAATAGTGGCTTTGGGAACTCTGGGGATTTGGGAAACTCCTTCCTGCCCTTCCTGGGGATGGGGAATGGGGAATGGGGGGCACTGGGTGCTGTCAGGGAGGTGTTCCTGCTCAGCCACGCAGGGATGTGGGAGCTGGGCCAGCTCAGGCACCCCTGGGCTGCTCCAGAGGGCTCCAGGTGCTCCAAAGAGCTCCAGAGGCTCCTGGGGGTTTGGGGTCTCTCAGGGGCTTCTGTTGCTGTGAGGATCCTGGAGGGGCCTGGGCTGCTCCTCGGGGCACACATGAGCTGGAGGGGTGCTCCCAAAAATCCGGGGTGTTCTCAAAAATCAAGGGTGTTCCCAAGAGTCCAGGGTGTTCGCAGGAGTCCAGGGTGCTCCCAAAAATCCAGGATGTTCCCAGGACCTCAGGGTGCTCCCAAAAATCTGAGGTGATCAGAGGAGTCTGGGGTGCTCCCAAAAATCAGGGGTGCTCCCAGGATCTTGGGGTGTTACCAGGAGCCCAGGCTGCTCCCAAAAATCCGGGGTGCTCCCAAAAGTCCAGGGTTTTCCCTGGAGCTCGGGGTGCTCCCAAAAATCTGGGATGATCCCAGGAGCCTGGCGTGCTCACAGGACCCTGGGATACTGACATGATCCCAGACCCCAGGGTGCTCCAAGGGCCCTGGGATCCTCCAAAACCCTTGGATGCCCCAAAAGCTTCAGGAACTGCTGATGCCTTTCCCTCTCCAGGATGGTTATAGACCCCTGGATGCTCCAAAACCCCTGGATTCTCCAAAACCCTCAGGATGTGTTCCAAAACTGCTGGGATCCTCCAAAACCCTCAGGATGTGTTCCAATACTGCTGGGATCCTCCAAAACCCTCTGGATATTCCCAAGTCCCGGGATGCTCCAAAACCCCAGGATGCTCCAAAAACCCCGGGGTGCTCCAAAACCCCTGGAATCCTCCAAAACCCTGGGATGCTCCAAAACCACTGGGATCCTCCCAAACCCCTGGAATCCTCCAAAACCCCCAGGATGCTCCAAAACTCCAGGATGCTCCAAAAGCCTCAGGACGGTCCAACACCCCCGGGATGCTCCAAAACCGCCAGGATGCTGGAGCTGCCCGCAGCCGCTGGGATGCGGGGTGCGGAGAATCTCCCGGGCAAAGCAGCCGGGGGAAGGGGGGGAACGGGGCGGGGCGGAGCCGGGTCCCCCCCCGAGGCCCCCGCCCGCCCTTCCGCACGTTCCTTCCTCCCCCCCGTCATCATCCTCCTCCTCCTCCCCCCGCTCTCGCGACAGCTCCGCACAGAAAATGGCCCCGCGGCCGCCCCGCCGCTGATGCGCGACCCGGGCGGCGCCGGCCCCGCCGCAGCCCCGGTACGGCCGGGAGGGACCGGGAGGGACCGGGATCGGGGAATGGACCGGCACCGGGGATGGGCTGGCACAGGGGGTGCGGGGACAGCGGGAGCTATACTGACTCCGGGGGGGTGTACCGGCACCGGGGGTGTACCGGTATCGGGGATGTACCGGCACCGGGACCGTATTGGCACCGGGGATGTACCGGCACCGGGACCGTATTGGCACCGGGGGTGTACCGATATCGAGGCTGTACCGGTACCGGGGATGTACCGGTATCGGGGATATACAGGCATCGGGGATGTATCGGCACCGGGGAGGTACCGGTATCGGGGCTGTATCGGTATCGAGGATATACCGGCACCAGGACCGTTCCGGTATCGGGGATACCCCGGCACCGGGACCGTATTGGCACCGGGGTTGTACCGGTACCGGGGATGTACCGGTATCGTGAATATACCGGCACCGGGACCGTACCGGTATCGGGGATACCCCGGCACCGGGAAGGGAGCACTGGCACCGGGGGATGTACCTGGCCAGGGGTGTGCTGGCACCAGGGCTGTAGCGGTTCCGGGGCTGTAGCGGTACCAGGACTGTACCGGTACCAAATGATGGACCGGCACCGGGGCTGGAGCTGCACTGGGGACAGCAGCGGTACCGGAGCGGGGCCCGGGGTACCGGAGCTTTGCAGGAGCCCCGGGGCTGCTGCCCGCGGCGGCTCCGGGTCACGGTGCCGCTGCCCGTGGGGTGGTGGTCGTGGGTGTCACTCCCCCCTGGATTGTAGCCATGGGTGTGTGGCCCGTGGGGGGCTACCAGCCCCAAAACCAGCGGCCATGGGGGCTACCCTGGGGTTACCACTTGTGGGGCTGACAGGGAGCCGCTAGTCCTGGGTCCTGACAGGTGCGTGGCCTGTGGGAACAGCAGGACCGCCTCACATCCCGGGATGCACCTGCCGGGACCTGCCCGTGCTCCCTCCATCCTCCCACACCTCCGGGAGCCGCTCTGTGGCTGTCAGAGCCCGGGCTCCTGCCCTTGGTGCTTGCCTGGTGCTGGGCTCAGCTTTGTCCACGCTCAGGGAGGGAGCTCCAACATCCCCAGGTGGCTCCTGAAGGCAAAGTGGGGTTTTTCCCATGGGCAGGCAGATAAAGGTGAGCACCGAGGAATGTGGGGAAATGTCAGCAGGGCTTGCAGTGATCTGGGGGACAGTGGGGACCCTCCTTTGGAGGGAAGAGGGGCCTGGGCTGAGCTGCCCCGTGGATGTGACACCAAGGCCAGCACGGGGCTCAGCATTCACCCCTCTGGATGCCCACCCGGGTTTGGGATGGGCTCCTCAGGCTCTGCAGGCAGATCCTGAGTTGGAAAGCGGGGAGCCCCTCCAGGGAGGGGTGGCACCCCGACAGCGCCATGCCGATATTGGGGCACCCACCTTGTGTTGGACACCTGGAGCATCCCCCCCCCATCACCCCCAGCTCTGTGAGGGCTCCCCGCGGTATCTGAAGCTCCAGGAGAGCCCTCGGGGTGTGTTTTAGCCGGGGCTGGTGGCACTGGCAGGAGCGGAGCCGCTGCTCCCTGCTCTCCGAACGCTGCCTCCCCCGGCGCCCGCCGGCTGCGCGATCACATGAGCCCCTTGTTCCGAGCCTTTGTCTCATCTCCTGCGCCGAGAGCCGCGTTTGGGGACAGCCTCCTCATCCTCGGGCCTCAGAGATGCGCAAATCCGATTATTTGTCCCATTTATCCTCGCGGGGTGGGATGAGCAAAGCCTCGGGGTATGGATAAAGCCCCCGGGTGGTTTGAGGGGGATGAGCTGTGTTAATTATTCACTGAATCAGCAGCACAGCCTGCTCGGGGTGATGGGCAGCTGCAAACATCCTGCCCATCCTCACAGCTGGCAGCCCCTGGAAGGGTTTTGGGGTCCCTGTTCACCCCACAGGGGTTGGAATGAGGGAGCTTTGTGCCAGCAGCTCTTTGGGGTGCCAGGAAATAATAATAATAATAATAATAATAATAATAATAATAATAATAATAATAATAATGGGGATAATGACAGTGACAGTGGTGGCTCCAGCATTGGGGTTCCAGGGCAGGTTTGCACTGGTGGTCACATCTTGGGGGGAGCCATATTTCTGGGGGGGTCCTATCTCTGGGAGCATTGTATCATCAGGGGGGTGACATCTCTGGGGGCAATCACACCTCTGGGGCAGTCACTTTTTTGGGTCAGTCATGTTTTTGGGACTGTCACATCTCTGGGGCAGTCACATCTTTGGGGTAGTCACGTTTCTGGTCAGTCAGTCACATTTCTGGGGGCAGTGACATCCCTGGGGCAGTGACACCTCTGGGACTGTCATGGTTTTGGGTCAGTCACAATTTTGGGTCAGTCATGTCTCTGGATCAGTCACATCTCTGTGCAGTCACATCTTTGGGTCAGCCACATTTTGGGTCAGTCACATTTTGGGTCAGTCACATCTCTGGGGCAGTCACGTTTTTGGGGCAGTCACATCTCTGGTGACCACAGAAGGTCACTGGGGATGGGGACAGTAGCAGCTCAGCAGCTCCTGGGCCAGGGTGTCACACTCAGGGCTGCAGAACAGACAGTCCTGGAGGAGGGGAGTGTTGGCCAGCATCCCATGGGAGGTGACAAATGAGCAAGATGATCCAGGTGCTCTCCAAAAACCTGGCTGGGCACAGGGTGATGCCGCAGTGCTGCCACCGTGTCCTCTGCCATGTCACCTGTGGGGAACCTTGGGGCCACAGGCCAAGTGTCCATCCTGCCTGCCCTCACACAATCTGCTCAAGAGGTTTCCCAGCTTCTCCAGAGAAAAAAATCAGCTTACAAGGCATCACTGGGATGCTGCAACAGGGAATGCCACTCTCCATGTGGCATCTGTGATCCTAGAGGGACAGGACAGAGGTTCCAACACCCCAAGGCACTGCTGGCTTTGACCCTGGGGCTCCAGGAGCTGCAGTGCACGTGGGGAAGAATTTCCTGATTTTTTGGGGAAACTTCCCTGTGCTGCCCCTGAGCTCTCAGTGCCACGGCCCTGCTCCCTTTGGGCTCACGTGGAGCCCAATGGTCTCAGGGCTCTGCCAGGGGTGCTGAGCCCAGCCTGGGCCACCCAGCTTTGATCCAGAGGGGCATTTCCAGCAGGGCAGCAGGAATTTTGCTTCACTGCAAAGGGCAGTGAATTTTGCTTCCAGCAGGGCAGCAGGAATTTTGCTTCACTGCACTCTCCAGCACCAATGGTTCCAGCTCTGACACTTCAGGGTTGGGCACCAAAACGTGGCAGTGCCACATTACCCAGGCAGGTACAGCCCTGCCTCGACCTTTTCAGCATTGCCTCCCCCAAAAAAGAAGATTCCCAAGATCCTTTTTCCCACTAAACCTGATAAACAAAGCTCCATCAAAGCTGCTGGGAAATTTCTGTGTTTACCCCATGTCCTGCAGGGATGGAGGATGGAGATGGAGCATCCCTTCCATCCAGGGCTGAATTTCCCCTCCTGGGCCATGAGCAGCCCCAGCCCTGCCCCAGATTCCCTTTTCCATGGCCAGCCCCCCTCCATGGCTGGCTGATTCCATCCCGAGGCTGCTGAGCTGAGAAAACAACAACAAAAAAAGGCCCCACAACCCCCAGACAAAGCCAGGAGGCCAGGGGCAGCCACAGGAATAATCCCACATGGATTTTTCCCCCTCCCTGGTTTATTTCCTGCTGGGCTGTGATCCCAGTGTGCTGGGTGCTGCAGGAACAGCTCCTGAGCCAGGCTGAGCCCCTCTGGGCCAGACCCCCACAGCCAAAAGCTGGGAAATTCCTCTGGAGCAGATGTTAATGGGAAGGATGGGATGCCCCAGCCAGCAGAGCTGATCCCCAGGGAGATTTCCCAAGGAGTTATTGAGCTCCTGGGGAAGCATCTGCCAGTGCTCAATTCACAGTCCCAGCACTGATATTATTGTAATTGTTGTCATTATTATCAATATCAGCATTATTATAAATATTTTTACCCTTTTATCCTTTTTATTTTATCCTTTTGTCTTTATTTTCATCATTGCTTATTATTTATTAGCATTATTATCACCATTTTCTCTCTCACTCCAACATAAGACACTACAGAGAGATCTCCCAGAGTGAGGGGGTTTTCCAGATGATTTTCACTGGGAATTCCAGTTTGGCTCATCCATGTGGGACCCTCATGCCAAGCCAATGTAATTTTGGGCAAGAACCATCCCCACATGCCCATCATCAACTCCCAGACACTCTGTGGGACCTGCTGCTCCTCCTGGCTTATTATAAATATTTTTACCCTTTTATCCTTTTTATTTTATCCTTTTGTCCTTATTTTCATTATTTATTAGCATTATTATTGCCATTATTATCACCATATTCTCTCTCACTCCAACATTAAGACATAACAGAGAAATCTCCCAGACTGAAGGGAGATTTTCGTTCAAATCCTCATTTCCAGATGATTTTCACTGGGAATTCCAGTGTGGCTCATCCATGTGGGAGCCTCTTGTTAAGCCAGTGTAACTTTGGGCAAGAACCATCCCCACATGCCCCACCATCACCATCTCCCAGTCACTCAGTGGGACCTGCTGCTCCTCCTGGCTTGGAAAACCCTTTGGGATTTTGAGGGGAGCTCCCAGTGAGCCCCCCCAGCCCTGGGAGCAGGAGCAGCTCCAGCAATCCCTGTGCCTTGGAGGGATCCCCCTTGGAGGATCCTTGGAGGAATCCCCCCAGTTTGGGGGCAATTTTGGCTGCAGTTGCTGTGGGCTGGACACGAGCAGGATCCTGGTGATGCCTGGAGGGGATGTCTGGGGGCTTTGGGGACCACGCTGGGGTGGGAGAAGCAGGAAGGGACAGTGACAGCTCTGGGATCAGCTCCGGGTGGGAGGGTCGGTCCCAGGACCACAGGGCACCGAGGAGGAGGAGGGAAAAGGAGAGGAGGAGAAGGAGAAGGAGAAAGGAGGAGGAGGAGGAGGAGGAGGAGGAGGGAGTCACTGGCCCCGGGCTGGGCTCTGACCTCCCTCCTGCTCCCGGTGCAGCCCCGCCGGGAGGAGCCGCCCTGTCCCTGTCCCTGTCCCTGTGCCCGTGCCCAGCTCCTGCCAGGCCATGAAGACAGAGAAGGACGAGCCCGTGGCCACCTTCTCCCTGAGGGGGAAATTCGGCGCGGAGGGGGCAGGTGAGTGCCCTCAGGGGGGGCAGGAGCAGGGAAACCTTTGCTCCTGTGGCTGGGAGATCCCTTTGGGTGAACCCCACCATGGGGATGTGCCCAGGTGTGCCTGAGTGCGCAGGTGGCATCACCCAGCGTGTTCCAGCCACCATCAGGCTTCACCTGCACCAGCACAGCCCCTCCCAGCCCTCACAACCTGGGGGGCTCCAGCCAGACCCCCACCCCATTTCCCTGTCCTGAAGGGATGGGGAGGGCAGAGGGGTGGCTTGGCAGGGGCAGAGGGATGGGGAGGGCACAAGGCTGATTTGGCAGGGGCAGAGAGATGGGGAGGGCAGAGCTCTGGTTTGGCAGGGCAGAGGGATGAGGAGGGCAGAGCTCTGGTTTGGCAGAAATGAGGGATGGAGAGGGCAGAGCTCTGGTTTGGCAGAGCCGAGGGATGGGGAGGACAGAGGGATGGAGAGGGCAGAGCTCTGGTTTGCCAGGTCCAAGCCTCACCGTCCCTCCCCGCAGGCTGCAGTGACCCAGCCCTGCCCGGTGCCCCGGTGCCAGGGGCGGGCAGCGGAGGGACCCCGGCCCCGGAGCTGCGGCCGCTGAAGCGCAGACCTGTCCCAGGTGAGCCCAGCCCCGCCCCGGGGAGGGGACAGCGACAGCCGGGGCAGGGACGAGGCTGACGGATCTGTGTCCTTGCAGGGAAACACTACCAGTGCTCCAGCTACGGCTGCAAACTGGCCTTCCCCAGCATGCAGGAGCTGATGGACCACCTGAAGGTCCACTACAGACCCACGCAGTCCCTCGAGGGTAAGGCCAGGACACACCACAGGTGCTTTTTTGGGCTGGGAGGGGGACGAGCAGGGCTCAGAGCGAGGCAGGGCTGGTGGTGGGAGATGGGAGTGGGGGGGTGCTGCAGCCTGCCTGACCAGGCTGTCCCCTCTGAGCTGGTGCTGAATCTCTCTCCGAATTCCTCTGCCCAGGCAAAACCTTCCAGTGCCCCACCCTGGGCTGCAGCGAGACCTTCCCCAGCATGCAGGACCTGATGGCCCACATGAAGGTGCACTACAAACCCAACCGCTACTTCAAGTGAGTCCTGCTGCTCCCTGTCCCCTCCTGTCCTCTCTGGGGACACCTGGCCAGCAGAGCTGATCTCCAGGGAGATCTCCATAGGAGTTATTGAGTTCCTGGGGAAGCATCACCCAGTGGTCACTTCACAGCCCCAGCACTGATACAATTCTTATTATTATTGTCATTATTATCAATATCATCATTATCACCATTATTATAAATATTTTTACCCTTTTATCCTTTTTATTTTACATTTTTGTCCATATTTTCATCATTGCTTATTATTTATTAGCATTATTATCATCATTTTCTCTCTCACTCCAACATCAAGACACTACAGAGAAATCTCCCAGAGTGAGGGGGTTTTCCAGATGATTTTCACTGGGAATTCCAGTTTGGCTCATCCATGTGGGACCCTCGGGCCAGAGGAATGTAATTTTGGGCAAGAACCATCCCCACGTGCCCATCACCATCTCCCAGTCACTCAGTGGGACCTGCTGCTCCTCCTGGCTTGGAAAACCTTTTGGGATTTTAAGGGGAGCTCCCAATGAGCCCCCCAGCCCTGGGAGCAGGAGCAGCTCCAGCAATCCCTGTGCCTTGGAGGGATCCCCTTGGAGGATCCTTGGAGGAATTCCCCAGTTCCTCCAATTCCTGGGGAGGAATTTTCCCCAGTTTGGGGCAATTTTGGCTGCAGTTGCTGTGGGCTGGACAGGAGCAGGATCCTGGTTGATGCCTGGGGGGGATGTTTGGGGGCTTTGGGGATCACCCTGGGGTGGGAGAGGCAGGAAGGGACAGTGACAGCTCTGAGATCAGCCCTGGGCTTATCCACATGAGAGCCTCGTGCCAAGCTGTGACAGTGTTCTCAGGGGTCTCAGGATGAGGGAAGAGATGAGGATCTGACTCCATGTTTCAGAAGGCTTGATTTATTATTTTGTGATATATATTATATTAAAATCATAGAATAGTTTTAATATATATTAAAACTAAAAGAATAGAAGAAAGGATTTCATCAGAAGGCTAGCAAGGAATAGAAAAGGAATTATAACAAAGGCTTTTGACTGACTGAGACAGTCTGGACAATAATTATTAGTAATTATTAATCTAATTAATGATTGGCCATTAATTGGAAACAACCACATGAGACCAATCACAGATGCACCTGTTGCATTCCACTGCAGCAGATAATCATTGTTTACATTTTGTTCCTGAGGCCTCTCAGATTCTCAGGAGAAAAAACCACATCTGTGACACCGAGCCAATGTCATTTTGTGCAAGAACCATCCCCACATGCTCATCATCCCCTCCTGGTCCCTCTCATGGCTCTTTCCTCACCCAAGGTGTGAGAACTGTGTGCTGCGCTTCTGCACGCACCGCTCGCTCTTCAAGCACCTGCATGTCTGCTCGGTGTCACATGTCTGTGACACCTAGCCAATGTCATTTTGTTCTCATTTTGTTCAAGAACCATCCCCACGTGCCCATTATCCCCTCCTGGTCCCTCTCATGGCTCTTTCATCACCCAAGGTGTGAGAACTGTGTGCTGTGCTTCTGCACGCACCGCTCGCTCTTCAAGCACCTGCACATCTGCTTGGTGTCATTGTCATTTTGTTCTCATTTTGTTCAAGAACCATCCCCACATGCCCGTCATTGATTCCCAGTCACTCTCGTGGCTCTCTCCTCACCTCAGGTGTGAGAACTGCCTGCTGCTCTTCCGCACACACCACTGGCTCCTCAAGCACCTGCACGCCTGCTCGGTGTCACACGTCTGTGACACCAAGCCAATGTCATTTTGCTCATGAACCATCCCCACATGCCCATCATCAATTCCCAGTCGCTCTCACGACTCTTTTTGACCCCAGGTGTGAGAACTGCCTGCTGCGCTTCCGCACGCACCGCTCGCTCTTCAAGCACCTGCACGTCTGCTCGGACAGCGCCAGCGGCCCCGCGCCGCCGCCCCGGCCGGTGCTGCCCTCCTCTACCTCCAGCCCGGACAAGGAGCCCCCGGCCAAGCCCCCCGAGGCGCTGCCCAAGCCCCCGGAGAAGGAAGCGCCGGCGGCGGGCGCGGACTCAGCCCCGGCGGCGCTGCCCGGCTCGCTGGAGCCGCTGCTCCCGGGGACCCCGCACCCCTTCCCGCTGCTGGAGCCCGCCCTGTTCGGGCCCTCGTCCTTGAGTCGCTTCTCGGCGCCAGCCCCGTCCTCGGTGCCGGGGCCGTTCCTGCCCTACGTGCCCCCCTCGCCCTACGGGCTGGCGCAGCCCCCGGCTCAGCACCGCCTGCGGCCCTTCCTGCCGGGCCACGGCCCCCCCAGCGTCTCCAACGCCGTCTGGAAGAAAAGCCAAGGTGAGAGCGCGGAGCCGTGCGGGACAAAGCTTCTTCTGCTCCCGCCTTGACCAGCAGCAGCAGCAGCTCCCCGAGCAGGACCCGAGGATCTGATCCCCTCTGGCCCGGCCATACCCTCATTCCAAAAAAATCCCCATCCAGTCCGTGCCACCCCCTGTGTAATGTTCGATTGGGCAAAAGCACCAAAAAACGCCTTCAAATTCTACAAATTGTCCCAACCAGCCCTGCTGCTCCCCGGCGTGCTGGGGGGGCCGGGCCAGGGCTGCCCTCCCAAGAGTCCCCCCCACCCCAAGGGAGGGGAAGACCTAATGCTTGTCTCGGGCCTCGATTCCCTCCGCAGGTGTGAGTGTCAGCCCACTCCTCCCATGCTTTGGCTCAGGAGTGACTCCAGGTTAGTTTGGCACCTGCTGGGTGGGGGCTGCTTTCTGTCACTGGGGGGTTTGGGGGGCGGCGGGGGGGGCGCAGGGGACGGGAGATGCCCCAGGGGCACTGCGGTGCTGCCCGGAGGGCACAGGGGGAGGGCGGGCTCCCTCCTTTTTGGAGAGGGGATGAGGCCCAGGTGGGCTGCGAGGCAGGGGGGGTTATGGCTGCACCCCCCCAAAACCCCCCAGCCTGGCCCCGAGGGCAGAAGCAGCAGGAGGAGGAGCAGCAGCAGCAGCTCCAGTGCCCCCAGTGCCCCCAGTGCCCTGCCCAGCCTGGCCCCCCGCTCCCACACTCGGCGTTCTTCCCTTGGGAAGGGCTCCAGCCCCCGCAGCCCCGCGGCTCGGGGCGATGCCTGTGCTTCCCTGCCCGCCCGTCCTTGCAGGGCACTCCTCCGCCGGCCGCATCGTCTGGGAGCACACGCGGGGCCGCTACAGCTGCACGCAGTGCCCCTTCTCCACCGCCTCCCGCGACGAGATGACGCTGCACACCGAGGACCACCGCAAGAACCCCCCGCCCGGGCGCCTGGAGGCGGACATGGGTACGGGAGGGACCACGGGGCTGGCAGGGATAAGGCACGGGATGCCCCCGGGGGTGGCAGGGGTCCGCAGGGATCCGCAGGGATCAGGCACGTCCTGCTCCCTCTCTGGCCTGGCACAGCCTGGCCATGTTCCTGTCCCTGCTTCCCAAACCTGCAGCAGTGCCCTGGAGGGGTCTGTGTGCCCACCCTGTGCCCCCGGCCTCTGTGATGCCCCTGGGGCCTGTGTGTGCCCCCCCAACCTCTCCTGTGCCCTGGAGGGGTCCATGTGCTTGCCCTCTCTGTACCCCCCAATCCCTGTGATACCCCTGGGGGTCTCGGTGTGCCCTCCCAGTCTCTGCGATGCCCCTGGGATCTCTGTGCCCTCCCAGTGCCCTCTCCATGCCCCCCCAACCCATCCTGTGCCTTGGAGGGGTCCATGTGCTTGCCCTCTCTGTACCCCCCAACCCCTGTGATACCCCTGGTAGTCTCTGTGTGCCCCCCAACCCCTGCAATGAGCCTGGGGATCTCTGTGTGCCCGCCCAGTGCCCTCCCAGAGCCTGTGATGCCCCTGGGGGTATTTGTGTGCCCTCCCTGTGCCATTCCAATGCTCCCAGCCCCTCAATGTCCCTGGGGTCTCTGTGCCCCCCCCCAGTGCCCCCAACCCCTTACTGCCCGTGGGGGTCTCTTTGTGCCCCCCTCAGTGCCCTCTCCATGCCCCCAGCCCCTCCTGTGTCTTGGAGGGGTCCATGTGCTCTGCCCTCCCAGTGCCCCCAGCCCCTCAATGCCCCTGGGGTGTCTTTGGGCCCCCCAACTCCTGCAATGACCCTGGGGGTGTCTGTGTGCTCCCTCAGTCCCCCCCAGCCCCTGCAATGACCCTGGGGGTGTCTGTGTGCCCTCCCTGTACCCCCAGCCCCTGCAATGCCCCTGGGGGTGTCTGTGTGCCCTCCCTGTACCCCCAACCCCTGCAATGCCCCTGGGGGTGTCTGTGTGCTCCCTCAGTGTCCCCCAGCCCTTGTGATGCCCCCGGGGGTCCTTGTGCCCCCCTCCCCACGAGGTGCTGACATTCTGTTCCCTGTCCCTGCAGATTTCGGGGTGGGGCTGGCCCCGTTCCACGCCAAGCTGCCGCCGGAGATGGAGAACTCGCTGTACTCGCAGCTCTGACGGCTCCCGAGGGACTCCCGCACCTCCCCTGAGCGGGCAGGGGCACGGCACAGCCCCGAGCTGGCACAGGGGCAGCGCAGGGGTTGATGCTTCCCCTGGAATTTCCTCTCCCTTTCCTTTGTGTTTTCGGGAGCTCTCCAGCAGCCGGAGCCGCCGTTCCTCCCTCCCCGAAAGGTTTTGTTGCTTCAGCCCCGAGGGCTCTGCGGGAGCCCGGTAGGTTCTCAGGAGTTATAGTGGACTGCTCTGGAAAGAGATCTCGGAAAAATAAATGGGAATTGTACAGGAGTGGCAGCCGGGAGAGGCTCTGTCAGTCCCATGGGGCAGGGGGAGCGGGGCTGGCACTGAGAACCCCCAAAAACCAAAGGAGGGGGACATGGGGACACAGGGGGTGTGACGCTGTGACACTGTGCTCTGCCGGGGACTGGCTTGGGGAAGGAGAAAGGGGAGGGTTTGGGAAAGGAAAATGTTTGGGAAGGGGAAGGTCTGAGGAGAGGGAAAGGGAAGAGTTTGGGAAAGGGGGAAGAGTTTGGGAAAGGGGGAAAGGAAAGAGTTTGGGAAAGAGGGAAGGGGAAAGGGAAGAGTTTGGGAAGGGGAAAGGGAAGAGTTTGGGGAAGGGGAAAGGGGAAAGAGTTTGGGAAGAGGGTAAGAGTTCGAGAAAGGTGGAAAGGAAAGAGTTTGGGAAAGGGAAGAATTTGGGAACGGGAAAAGGGAAGAATTTGGGAAAGGGAAGAGTTTGGGAAAGGGAGAAGAGTTTGGGAAAGGGAGAAGGGAAGAGTTTGGGAAGGGGGAAGGAGAAAGGGAAGAGTTCTGGAAGGGGAAAGGGGAAAGAGTTTGGGAAAAGGGAAAGGGAAGAGTTTGAGAAAGGGGAAAGAGGAGAGCTTGGGAAAGGGGAAAGGGAAGAATTTGTGAAGGGGAAAGGGAAGAGTTTGGGAACGGAAGAAGGGGACAGTTTAGGAAAGGCCTGAAGAAAGGGAAGGTCTGAGGAGGGGGAAGGTCTGAGGAAGGTCTGAGGAAGGGGAAGGTCTGAGGAAGAGGAAGATCTGAGGAAGGGCTGCTCCGTGCTGCCCCTGCCCCCTGCCAGCGCATCCCAGATCACACAGGGCTGCAGCCTGTGCCAGCTGCACCCCAACACCCAGAGCAGGGTGGGACCCCAGCCCCGGGCAGCCCCTGTGCCTGTGCCAGCCCTGCCGCAGACAGAGGGCACAGAATGGCACAGCAGGAGTGGCACAGCAGGAATGGCAGAGCAGGAATGGCACCGAAGGAATGGCACAGAGGAACCCCTGGGAGGGGCACGGCCCAGGTGCCAGCCTGGGGGGCTGCACCCCCGTGGGAGCAGCCTGGGGCTCCCCAGCCCCGCTCCGCCAGGCCCAGCCCAGCAGGGTGAAAAGTTTGCAGCAAACTGGTTTGAGGGGAGGCGTGCTGGGACCTGCCGGGCCCGCGGCAGCCCCGGCTGGGATGGGAGCGAGGGAAGAGCCGGCAGCCCCTGCTCTGCTCTGCTGCCGGCGCTGGGAGGGGCCACGAACACCGGGAGAGGGCTCGGAAAGGCTCAGTGGCCACCTGGGCGGGGTGGGCATCCCGGGATGGGCATCCCTTCCTCCTACTGCCATCCCTTCCTCCCTTCCTCCTCCTGCTGCCATCCTTTCTTTTCTCCTGCTGCCATCCCCTGCTCCTGCTGCCATCCTTCCCTTCCCTCCTGCTGCCATTGCTTTCTTCTTCTTGCCATCCTTTCCCTCCTGCTGCCATCCCTTCATCCTGCCATTCTTTTCTTCCGCCTGCTACCAGCCCTTCCTCCTCCTGCTGCCATCCCTTTATCCTGTTGCCGTCCCTTCCTCCCACCTCTGGCCATCCTTTCCTTCCTCCTCCTGCCATCCCTTTCTTTCTCCTGCCATTCTTTTCTTCCTCCTGCTGCCATCCTCTCCTCCTGCTGTCATTCATCCCTTCCCTCCTCCTGCTGCCATCCCTTGCCTCCTGTTGCCATCCTTTCCTCCCATCCCTTCCTTCCCCCTGCTGTCATCCATCCCTCCCTCCTGCCATCCCTTCCTCTTCCTCCTCCTGCCACCCCTTCCTTCCTGCTGCCATCCATCCTTTCCTCTTCCTCCTGCTGCCATCTCCCCCAGTGTGAGCAGCACCCCGGGGCTCTCTCCTGCAGCCCCCCTTTGCTGGCACCGTGCCCTCCCCAGCCCATCCCAGTCCCCTCAGGCCCTGATGGACACCCTGAAGTGTCCCTGAGCTGCTCAGACCTGGCACAGTAACAGCTCATCAGAGCCATGGGGTCACAGAGCACCCCAGAGGGACCCCCAGGTCCCAAAGGGGGGCAGGGGGCACAGCTCAGCCCCCTTGCCCAGCTGGCACCGGTGACTGCCCTGCTCCTCCAGGGCAGTGCCACCCCAAAGGCAGGAAATAAACCCTTCCCAAGCTGTTCCTGCCCCTGGGTCCAGCTCTGACCCCCCCCAAAGGCAGGACAGACCCTTCCCAAGCTGTTCCTGCCCCTGGGTCCAGCTCTGACCCCCCCAAAGGCAGGAAATAAACCCTTCCCAAGCTGTTCCTGCCCCTGGGTCCAGCTCTGACCCCCCCAAAGGCAGGACAGACCCTTCCCAGGCTATCCCTGACCTGGGTCTGGCTCTGACCCCCCCAAAGGGCAGCACTGGCCCAGAGGGTGCTGCAGACCCCACAGCAGAGCCCTCTGTCCTGCCAGCCCAACCCAGCCCTGCTCCCAGCACAAACCCAAACCTGCCCCAGAGCCCCCACTCTGAGCATTCCCGGCTGGTGCCAAGGCAGAGGCAGCCAAGACAAGCTCCATAGCAATGGATTTTTAAAAACTGAAGTCTTTTATTAAAGTTTTATCCAAATTTTGTAACAAAAGATACAAAAGGGCTGGAGATCCTTATTTCTGGGACTAGTCTGACCAATCAAAACCTGACAGTTACTAGGCTAATATAAAATCCATACAATCTGCTAAAAATGCAGGGAAAAAAAATTAGAACTGCTGCTCTTTTTTTTTTTTTCTTTTTTTTAAAATTCCTTAAAACATTTATAAGTTACTCAGTTTGCATTTTACAGGATTAGTTCTTGTCCGAATGGTCACAGCGACTGTACAATGCGAGAGACACCAGCGAAGCGAGGCAGGGAGGGGGATGTGATGCTGAACACACCCCCAGGAGGGGAGGGGAGGGCTGGAGCCTCACCCCGGGGGCACACGGAGCCCCCAGTGGGGATGCCACAAAGTGCCAGTGCTTGTCTGCACCCCCGGGCTGTCCCTCCGTCCGTCCCTCCCTCCCTTCTCCCCAGGGATGCGCTGGTTGGGCACCTCTGGGATGGCAGGGAAGGTGGGAATGGGGTTGGGAATGCTGCATGAGCCCGCCTGGCTCCCCCAAATCCTCCCTCCAGCCACCAAGGGGTGCCACACGAAGCTGGAGCTCTGTTCCCTGCTGGGAACACAGGAGGAGGAAGAGGAGGATGGCCAGGCCAGGCTGGCACCAGGGGCCCGTGCAGAGGTGGCACTGGCTGGCAGAAGGACCCTGAGAATTTCCAGGCTAACACGGTCTGCAGGAGCATCGATCACAGTGATGGTGGCGGCTGCACAGGGCAGTGCAGTGTGAAATGAGGGCTGGAGCAGCAGTACCCCCTCACCTGCATTCCCTATCCCTTCCCAAAGCTGCTGCAGGGCTCCCACAGCACACACACAGCCACAGGAACACAGGAACCCCCCTCACCTTGGGGACAGCCCAAGGGATGGCTCTTGAGTGGCCAATGGGAAAAATGTTCCAGTTTATAAAATAAAATAGGAAAGCAAGTGCAGGGTTACTGCAAGGTGCATCGCAGAGGTACCAGGTCATGCAAGCAGCCCCTCCCTCCCTCCCTCCCCCAAAACCCCAGGCACCCCCATCCCCAGCACTAAAGCATCTTCAAGCATGTCCAGAGATCACATCACCATGATTTCAGATCTGAGACACCCTCAGGATCCTTGGGAGTCCACGCAGATGAACCACATTTTGCACCCGAGGTGGCTCCAAAAGCGTCTTCAGAGCCCTGGGCTGAGGGCACGAGGGTGGCCAAGGCCTTCTGTGCTGGCAGGGTGACAGCTGGAGCTCTGGGTCCAGTGTGGCACAGCTTATTTGGGACACACAGATACCCTAAGGAGGAGATTTTTTTTTTCCTCTTTTTTTTGATTTTTTTTTGGCTTTTTTTTTGCTTTTTTTTGCCTTTTTTTTTTTAAGCTGCTGCACAAACCACCGAACGGAGAAAAGCCTTTGGTCATGAGATAGTTGTGAGAAAAAAAGTGAGCCTTGTATGGAAGATTCCCCTGAATGCCTACAGTATTCTAAATCTTAAAAAAATATATTGTGGACGCTGCAGCCATTACAAAGGGGGAGGAGGAGGAGTGGGAGACAGGGATTTACAGTCTCACACAGACACAACGGGGAGGTTAAGACAAGCACAGTCAGAGTCTGTAAAACTGATTGGCTCGCTGGGATCAGTCATCCTCATCATCCTCTTCGTCCTCTGCATCTTCCTCTCCTTCATCCTCTAGACTTCGTTTTCTCTTCTGCCCACACGGGTGGTCTGCAAAGAGAGGGGAGATTCACTCTCCAGCCCAGCCCAGGGACAGCAGCTGAGCTGGCAGGGGACAGACTGGCACAGATCCACTGGACAGACTGGCACATTTGGGACCAGATCCATGGGACAGACTGGCACCATTTGCCAGCAGATCCAATGGATAGACTGGCACCATTTGGGTGCAGATAAATGGGACAGATTAGCACCATTTGGGCGCAGATCCAATGGACAGACTGGCACCATTTGGGCGCAGATCCAATGGACAGACTGGCACCATTTGCCAGCAGATCCAATGGATAGACTGGCACCACTTGGGTGCAGATCCATGGGACAGACTGGCACCATTTGCCAGCAGATCCATGGGACAGACTGGCACCATTTGCCAGCAGATCCACTGGACAGACTGACACCATTTGGATGCATATCCCATGGACAGACTGACACCATTTGGGAGC